TATTGAAAAATGCTTGAGTTCCTCATTGTCAACTATGCAGAAGTTTGAGACCAGCTAGAGCAAACAGTTGTAAATCCGATGGCGCTATTTGTGCTCCTTTATTAGCCGACTTGATTTTTCTTTTCCTATAAAGCAGGATATATCCACAAGAAAAAATTCTACATGAGAAACAGAAAACACTTCCTATGACATTCAGCTCGACTTTTATTATGTCAATGACGTTTTCTCAATTAACAGTAGGTACCGGCATGTATATATTGTTTCGACATATTCCTGTAAACACACATAAATAACACAGAGTGTGTCACATTTATTTCATTTTTGGATGTTTTACTGCATATGAACGATAGGGGCCACCTAAGAGCTATTTTCACAAACGAAATGACTCCAGCTCCCCCATCCTCAACTTTCCTTATTTATTTAGTAATATTCTGTTATCATCGGCATATGGTGATTATATCTCCCAACTTAATCAATACTCCAGAGCATGCTCTGAGTATCTCAATGCTTTTTAAATCAAGGCAGGCTACTTACAGGTAACTTGATGCTTAGGGATATCAGCAACCTTATTTTAAGTCAAGCATTTTTTTAAAAATGTCAAAGCGAGTGTGATCGGTCGATGCTTCCTCTTCCTAAGCACCTGATTCTATCTCTAGAATATCCGGGGATTCGTGTTTTATTCCCTGTTCACAAATTCGTATTGGTTGTATTTTTTTAAATTGATCACTATTCGTTAACTTTTTCATGTCAATGAAAAAAGTTTACTAATCATTGATATTGTCTTTTTCTAATTGAAATGATTCACTATTGCAGAAAAACTACCAACTACCAATTGTGTATTATGTATAAATTTCTTTTGCAATTTTTCATTGGAATTGATCCCTTTTGACCGCAAAACATGGAAGACGTACAACACACACTAGACAACAATTGGATTCTTCTTTGGGACATTCACAATCTATCTTACATACAGTCAGCAGATCACCACTTCTGGTATAAAACCAACCATACCTTTACCAAAATTCAAGATTGTAAGGTTCCAATCTAAGAAATTTTTGACAATTCTTTTTCGGACCCCATGTGTTCCATTTCGAAATGTTCTACAAAAAGTTGTAAAACCTGTGACATTTTGATAATAAATTCCTCTTTTTATAGCAACCTTACTGTACACAATTTTTATACTAAGATTGGTGAAAATATGACGTACTCCTCCATGGCAGCTGATCTCACCTCTGATGTTTTTGGAGGTCTGTTTTTGCTCTGTTCCCGATTTATATTATTTAGGTGGACAATAAAAATTAAAGCAATCATTGTAAAAGGTCAGAAACACAGGGACCCCGATCTTTCAACTGGCGACAGAACTTTATTTCCATTATGAATTCTGTCGAAGATTATGCCAAACATTGGGCTAAATATGAAAAGGAAGACCTGAACACTTTGTCAGACCGGATTAAGTGTTTTAGAAATATGTTAAAAATTCGTATTCGAAAATTAAAAGGCAAAATACAAACCATCAACCCTTCGTATTTACTAAACCGGAAGTGAGAAAAGAGTTAGAGAGACTACACGAAAATATGTTATGGTTCCAGCAGACAAGGCTGGTAACAATATCGTCTTCGTTTGTTAAGTGCATTATTATGATTGTATTTTGGAAGAATTTGTTTTTAATTCTACGTCTGAAAATCCAACATATATTTATAGTTCACTTTCAAAAAAAAGAAATTCTTCAAAATTATATTTCAGTGATAAATACCTATAATATACCAGTCAATCAAGGTGAGTTCGATCTACCCTACTTGTACTGGATTCTGAAAATTGAGAGAACTTCCTAAACCAATTCTTCAGACGCCATTTTCAGAGGAAATGGCGGGAAAAATCATAAAATGAATACCTATACGTACGAGATACCTATTGGTTGTCCTCTCGCTTGAAGACAGTATGACATAAAACAGCATGTATCTACATCGTACTAACCAATGCATGATTATACATGATTGCGCCCATGGGAAAAGGGCCCTTATGGCAATTTTTACACATTTTAAGTTTTTCATGGATATTAATAGAGCAAGGTTAGAAGTTGCCAAATCTGAATTTTTATGGCCGTACGTCAACTCTAAGTAGGTTTTTTTTCTTCATTTATATCAATGATACTTTAACAGATAAACAATGACGTCATGTTACTTTCGCACCAACGTCAAAAGTATGACTTTCACTTTGCATTGTAATGTTACTAAGGTAATAATTGTATGTTATTGAGCATTTCCAAAAACATTTTTGAGTCATTGTCTCTTTTAATAATTGTATAATATGATAATAAATAGTTGTATTAACTATTATTCATCATGCAGTGGTGTATAGAATTATGAGTGTTTGTTCGTTTGTTTATTTTACATTTCACTATGCTGGAATGTCAGGAAAACCCGAGAAGCAAGTGGCTTCTGTTCAATATCAATTTATTCTCTCAAAACCAAAGTATTTATCTCGTGTAATAATCGTTTGAGAAACCTGTAGAATTCATTCGAAAATCATCTCATTTTAAACATGGCTCTCGATAGGACAAGATGTCTTTTTTTTCTTTGGGGGGGGGGGGGTGAATTCAGTATAAACGATATCTCTTTCAAAATGTGAAGTTAAAAAATATTTCAAAAAAATTCTCGGGAACAACAATAAAATAGATGCTGCTGGGTAGTGAAATTTTTTTTTTTTTCCCTAAATATAATTAGACAGAAAATTTGTGAAATGTAGTGAGATCGAGTTACCGTATACGCTGTACAACAATTTAAGGAAATTAAGTTGATACACTGCATGTTAAGCAATATTCAATAAAAAAAAATTTCAAACAAAAATCAGAAGGACCTCTGCCCACATGTGGTAACAAAACTTCTTTTTTTAAATTGATATGATACACATTTTTTCAGTCAAAGCAAGGAAAATTTTTGAATAATCAATTCTAAGTAAGAAGGTTGATAAATTATAAACAAATGGATGAATTATAATTCACATGCATTTAAAATAAAAGGTAAAGTTCCAGGATGACCAGTGGTTGGATTGTGTGTGTGTGGGGGTGGGGGGTGGGGTTAAAAGTTAAATGACAGAAACATGCAATACATGTACTTGTAGTTAACATGAGTTTAATAGCATACGAGGGTTGTCGTATTTTTAAAATCTTCCTACATTTTAGGTGTGCAGGGAGGATGCCTTCCCACCACCAACCCCATAACCTCCAAATACGTCATTTGGTTAGGTTTGAAATAATATTGAAATAATTCCTCAATTTATTTTTGCATCTTGAACTCTCTCCTTACGAACGTGTATATGAGCAGGGTCATTTTCAAAACAAACAGCGATCATGAGGTCCACATACCTGGAACTGGAAACTTAACTGCTATCAAATCTAGTTAATCATGAGAAAAATTGCGTCCTAGAATAACGATTTTGTTTGATTTTGTAAAATTAAATGGTTTTAGAAGAACATGTATACACTGGGTATTAATAGATATCGGGTATTTTATTGTCATTTCAACAAATTTTATCCGAACTTTGAATGAAATCAATATGTCATTTTTTTAAATAAATATCAAATAGATTTTTCAAAGAAATAAATCATAAATAATTATATAAATGTTGTTGTTATGAAGCAATGGCATGCAGATTATTTATTAGACTTTTCGGCTGGGGGTATGTAAAAATTAATTGAAAGTTTTATATATCCAGTCAGTGAAATGCGACTGGTTCATAATATTCCTTGACTGGCTGAGTTTTTGAATGACAAATTTTTACGATGTGGCACACATTTAGGTACATGTAAATATTGTTATGTGATGGTGTGTGTAGAATCCCCCCTCCCCCCATTTCTCGCGGCTTCATTATCGTTTGAAATTCTAATGTTATTGTTTTCAAATGTTATTGTATATGAAGTTTTACAATTTAAAAATTCCATTCTGGCCCTATGCCAGAGACTTGGATATGCTTATCCTTGTAAAGCTTTACAGATACACTGTAAAGTAGTTAGGTCCCGGTAATATAAAATGACCCTAGCCCTCTTCCCCGGTCTTTTGCACCGCCACAAAAATAAAAACTTGCAAACATATTCTTTGTCTTTTGTGCAGTATATTTTTAGCATTTAATTTAATTTGCACAATGCATGTTTAAATACAATTTGATCTTAACAAGATTAATTTGATCTTAACAAGATTTATTTCAATAAATCCATATAACAAAATCAGCCCGTTTATATAATTCAACGGCAAGTTAAGCTATATCATACTAAACCGATAACTGAGATTATTATTTCAATAAGAAAACGAGTTTTAGATTGATAATAGAACTGTAATGACATGCAATGCTGAGATTCTATGAATGACAAGGATTACATGTATTTGACTTTTAAGTGACTAAAAACTGCAGATAAAGCTAAAACCTTTGAACTTTTTTATGCACAGCACGAGTACCAAAATGTTATATTTTCGAGTTACTGAAAATAAATAGACAGCAAAAGAAAAAAAAAGAGGTAGAGATTTCTTTTCATAATACGATATTGTTGTGTTTTTGAAAATTCGCCTTTTCATTAAAGTTTCACATTTCACATTAATAAACTGGATTTAATGTAACATCTCTCTCTCTCTCTCTCGCTTTCTCTCTCCCTCTCTCACACACACACATCAGGTATACATACATGTAAACTTTTCTTAAGGTAGAACAATTAGAATAATTTTATTTCATTCGGTAGTTTTTGTTTGTTTTCAAGTACTTACATCGGAAGTGGCAACAACAAAAATAAGACAATTTTTTTTTAAATTTTTTTTTTTAATTTCATTTTATTTTATTTAAATTTATGATCATTATTGCTGAAAAAAAAAATAAAATTCAAGTTATTTTAAAAAATAATTTCATGTTAAAATAAATAGATGTACATGTAACAGATTTAAAAAATAAATGAAAGTCTGGTTCAATGTAACATCTATTTCTTATTCTATATTTTTTTCTCTTTCACTTTGACAGCAGCTTTCAAAAATACTTTTAAAGAAAATCTAAATATAATACTTACTATTAAAACGTTTTTTTTAACTGATGATAAGTAGATTTAAAAAAAAAATAAATATTTTTTTATACTACGGGAGCAAATTTGTATGAGTATGTTGATTTTGAATGGTGTTAAAAAAAGGAAGAGAACGTCCCTCTCTGGTACCTCTCTAGTATCTCGCTTGTCAGAGTTACCTCTCTTGTTTTTATTTATAGTTCTTAAAAATAATATCACGTTCGTACTTTCGCTAGATTTGTGTAAACTTACAAGAATACTTTTCTTTTCTGTTGGAAGAAGTGTGATCAGTTTCAAATTTTTGGCAATTAAAGCATTTTACAACAAAAAATTATGCACGATGTACCAATGCTTCAATGTTTAAATGATCGATGTGTTGAGAATGGTGGGGCGGATCTTATACAGGAAAACGATTTCCTCTGCAATATTTTGATAATATACCCGTGTCTAACAAATAACTTCAATTTGTCTATATATCAAAATCGCATTCGTTCATCCATATTCAATTATCCAGAAAATCACCTTGTCTGAAGCTTCTATACATGTAGAGGTAATACATAGCCCAGATCAGAGACGTATACATGTAAAGCTACAATAACATGTAGTAAAGAAACGGGTCTCGAATAAAATTCTAAATATTTTAATTAATATCAGTGGACTAGAAGATCAAGTCGTGAATTAAAGATATAAATGAAAATAAATAATTATTTCAATGTTGAGAACAACGACAAAAGTGAGCTAGACGTGTCAAAACGTAAAACACGTGGATAAAAAATCTGCGTTGACGCTCACCATCTGCAACGTCATTTCTTTATGACGTTATTTCTCTGTTTTAGCGAAATTGCCATAAGGCCCTTTTGTCATGGGCGCAATCACATGTAAACATTAAAAATAAAGGTTTAAAATGGCTGTGCAATTGGAATATTCACGAATCTCAAATTCTTATGTCCTCTAGGTACACATATTGTTAATTGCACAGGTGAATGTGTCCCTAATTTTGGAAAGCTCTGTATAAATAAATGTCGCTGTGATTATGAAAAGTGTGGTAATGAATATGGTTGTCGGAATGATAGACACATGCGACTCGGTAAGAACGTATTTTTTATTTAGAAATAACATATATTTCGCAAAGACATTCGTATCCCTTACATTCTATTACCAAATGAATTCAATATGACCCCCCTTAATATTTTTGATAAATTTTAGAAGGGAGATTAAGGTAAATTCCAGTATTTTTCATCAATGAGCAAGTTTAGGAGCTATTTCAGATACTGGCAATCAATGTTAGATTAAAGGTTATATAAAATACCAAGAATTAACATATGCACCAAGCTGAGGTTTAAGCTAAAATTATAGAGCAAAATGTTTAAACTACTAACCTTAATAATTAGTGAGAAGAAGTGTATGATTATGTTTTCTTTGTAGGAGAAGAAAAAAGTGACTTTTTGATAAATTTAATATACGCTCTTATTGGCCTCATCACAGCTATTTTTTATTGTCACCCTGATCATCTTCATTAAGTATCGGTAACACAGCTATTCTTATTGCCACCCTGATCATCTTCATTAAGTATCGGTAACCAATTGCTAAATGGATGTTAATTAAGCATGTTAAAGATGATGAAAAAAATCATTTAATAATTTCAATTCAGTTAGACCTACGTCAGAAGTTTTTTTTTTCATAAACAGGGTGCAATTACTTAAAATAGGTTTCATAAACGAAATATCATCAAAAGAGAAATTCATCATAGCCAAATTAATACAACAGGTACGTTCTCCTAAGAAAAAATTGTAATACACGTAACATAATCACAAGTCTTAAAATAAACAAGAAACAAGGCAACAATAAAGGAAAGGAGAGTCATTAAAAAAACACAATTTTCGTTTTATGACAGTCTGCTTATGAAATATATGGAGATAACGAACAGTATTCAAGCTCAGAAGTCCATTAAACAATACAAAATAGGAGCAGAGCAAACACAGACATCCAAACATCAGAGGTACATGGGATCAGGTGCCATGGGGGAGTGAGCATCCCCTGCCGACCGGTGCCTCCCGCCGTGTGCTCCTTGTCATGATCGGGAAATAACGGAAAGAATTATTTCAATTAATTGATGCTTTAAAGTCATCACACAAATTTACCAATAGTGATATAACACGAATCTTTACCATTGAAGTGGTTGACAAACATTTTTTGTTTCAAGAAAATCATGAAGAATATTGATATGATAGCGAAAATGCTGAAACTTCCGAAGAATCTTAATACGTGATACCAAGTTTACATGCAAACTCCATTGAAAATAGCTACAATAACCAATTGTTTTCCCAAATGCACAATGTGTCTTGATAAATCGGGCCAAAATGGAGGTGATCCCAAATCACGCACCTTTGACACAGTGCCAGAGCATTCATTTGTCATTGTTGTTTATGAAGATGTTGATGACAATAAAGACTGTCTTTATAGCAGAGTCAGGTGTCAAAATGTACCATATAAGCAGAATTTTAGCAATTAGAAAAGTGTATGACTAGCTCATTTGACTTCATAAAATCGCTAAAATTACTTCATCCCAAAACTATATACAAGTTTTCCGGAGAAATCACAAATTATTTGTCTTTCTAAGAATTCTAAGAATTCGAAATAATACAATGGTTTGTCTTTGCACAATGCTTTACCCTAAGTCTTAACTTTGAAATAACTTTATTTTCCGGAAGACATGGAAATAAGAATATTAGAGACAAGCAAAAGGAATATCTGTGACAGAGTCATCCGTCTACGAAATAAAGCAACCTGTCAAAGAGAATCAAAAGTAGTTGTAGCATTGAAAGATAAAACAGAAAGCCTTAAAGATTCAACGTCACCAGAACATGGCAATCTTACACCTCTTGGAACAAGACCAAAATATGACAAATTACAATGAACGTTCCAGTAGTACTATTTGGATAACACCATTCAACAAAATTTCTGAGTTCGAAAAAAATTAAACTTTACATTATGAAAGTGATGAACATAAGGAAGAGTATCTTAAATGGAAATCAAATTGGAGAACATTCGATCAATTTAACTTCGAGAAAACAAAATTAATGTCGTAGTCGAAGATGGTTCCTCAGATGAGTACAGCCAAGTGATGAAAAGAAAGAGAGTTATTTATGAGGAATCATGTACAATCCCAGTTCAAGCAGTGAACAGTAATGAACAGTAATGTTATATCATTGACTTAGCTTTCTGATACATAACACGAGGAAGGTACAAGTGATACAAAAAAAAAAAAACAAAAACAAAAAAACCCCGAAATCTTTATCTTAATTGCGTACATTTGTCACACAAACTATTACTCCTGTTGTGAACTTTAGGAGCTTAATTGATATGATGAAATATGAAGATAACGAACAGTATTCAATCTCGAAAGTCCAATGAAACGATACAAATCAGGAGCAAGGGAAACACGGACCTCAAAATTTAGAAGTGGGATCAGGTGCCATGGAGGAGTGATAATCTCCTGTCGAGCAGTCATAAACAGACTAAGCAATGTAGAGATGCTAATACATATGATTTTATTCTTTAAGGAACAATGATTCTTATGGACTCTCCAATCATGGCACAGTAAAGAGTTCTCATTCCTTGGTATTTTATGCAGTTAGAATTATCTTTTCCTAGAACTTCAATAAATTAAATTGAAATATACAATATATTTATTTGTTTGTTATCAATTCATGCGATTTACGACAAATTAAATAAGCGCTGATCTGCGTATTTTTCTTATAAATTGATCACTGATTTCTGTTCACCAGTACTTGGTTGCCTTTTTTTCTATGTTGAAAAAAGAAAAATAGTAACACCTCTACGATTTAAGATTTACACCTTTATTTGATATAATTGGTTTCAATATCAAAAGTAATTATAAAGAGGCCTTAAGCAAATATCATTTTAGTTTGCAATACTGAAAGTTCACCATTTATTGATCATGTCTTCCTGAAAATGAAAATAAACATGTATTTTAGCAATTCTGAATACCATCTACCAAACATGTATGATGTATTATATTTTTTGCGTTTTTTTTTTTTTTTTTTTTTTTATAAATTGGTCCTTTTTGTTTGCCAAAATTGGAATAAGTTCAACATAGACAAGATTATAATTAGACTACTTGGAATTAGAATCATAAAAGTGTCTTTATTCAGCTAATTACAGAGAAAAAAAAATTAAAAAAAGAGTATAAATCAATGCAAGTGAAACAAAATTATCATAACAGAGTTGATCAAAAAGTTATGTCACAACTGTTATAAAATCTCTAATAATTAGATGTTATTAACAAAAATTTAACATACTATCCCTGTCCTTATATATATATATATATATTTTTTGGAAAAATTCATTCTATTTATTAAATACTTTTTAAAATAGTTATATAAACATAACTCTAGATTTTGGCAAGAATGTTTCGGACTTTGTTATGAAGTTACTTTTTGGCACTCATTTTCAGTTCATCTGCATTTCTTTTTAACCTTTCACCTGCTTCTTTCCAATAATCTTTACTCCAATTTTGCTATAAACCGTCTTGTTCTAAGTTGAAGCTGTAGCTGTAGCTGAGCGACATTGATGTTGAAAGGTTGAACTGAAGTCCAAGGCAGGAGTTTACGTCTTTCCATGTATCTTAAAGATATATGAACAAGTCCGCAATCAAAGGAGAGCAATTAGTGCCCATTGTATTCCAAGAACATATTGAGAGAGAGAGAGAGAGAGAGAGAGAGAGAGAGAGAGAGAGAGAGAGAGAGAGAGAGAGATTTGCATAGTTTACAACTTTTGATGGTAATTTTAAGATGAGTAATGATTTGTAAAGTGCTTTTTCTTATAAATGTATTATTCCCAGCAGTTATATTTTGAAAAGTTAATGAATTTTGTTAAGAAGACAGAAATTAAAATAGTGCACAAAATTCTTTTCATTAATATTTATCAAATTATAGATTTACAATGTCATTTCATT